ATATATATATATATATATATATATATATATATATATATATATATATATATATATATATATATATAAATATATATATATTGTGACGGTAAAGCGTTGGTGTTCGGCTGTTTCAAAAGCTGGGGGCAGGGCCTCGTCACATCACAAAAAAAAAGAGAAAAGTTTGTCCTTTCGTCTGTGGTAAGGTAATGGGAAGACACACGAAACACAAGTATATAAACAATGAAATTTTAATTACTCTAGAAAACAAGACATGAATAAAGTCAATCTCATAAAATTCAACACTGGTCAACAAACAAAATAACATGAATAATTACTGGCAATGAAAAGTTACTCTAAGACCAGAATGCAAAAATATTGATAGCAAGATAAATTAAATAATGGGTGCTGGAATACTGGCTTCAAGCTGCCACCTCCCTTAGTACACGAAAGCCAAGGCTTAGTCTACTAGCGAGAGATGTCAACTCCAAGGAGCACAAAGATATGCTGACGAGTCTGGCGTGCTGCTGCCCAGACGTCGACTCGCGGTGGTGGTAGTGAGTGCAGGTGCGACGAGACACCAGCCAATCAGCAACAGGCAGGCAGAGGATGAGCAGTTTGCTGGTTACGGCGGGCTGTGGCCAGGTGTTCGGGTGTACAGGGTACGATTTGCTTCCTGGGCAAAACGTTTGGCGATACTGGTGGACGTATCTTCTATATAGTATCTTGTATGTACGACGTAATGATGTAGGGAAGAGCAGGCTCAATCTCTCTTGAAAGAGATTATCGTCACAATATATATATATATATATATATATATATATATATATATATATATATATATATATATATATATATATATATATATATATATATATATATATATATATATATACACGTTTGGCGTGTATCGAGGTCCATGCTAATATTTCCTTGGAGCACGACCCGCCAATCGGCTAACAACTTGGTCCTCAGTTACTACAGAATGAACAGGGGGCAAATAATAAAGAATTGGTGCCCAATCAATCATCCCCGTCCAGGCTCGAACGCAGACAAAATCTTGTATGTAAACAATAAAATAACTAAAACTAAACTAACTAACAATAAAATATATATATATTGGAGTTTACGACTCCCAATTTTCGCGCATGAAAAAATCTTTTATTGTTTCAGCAGTAGGTTTGGAGGTCATTGTCCATTTTACAAGGTGACGCGCACCGTCAAGTGAGTTTTGAGACATTTGGTTCAAATTCAAGTTCAAGTATGTTTATAGAGACAAGAAAATACATGAACAAATCCATAAGAGCCGTTATCTTGAGGTTATCTTGAGATGATTTCGGGGCTTTATTTAGTGTCCCCGCGGCCCGGTCCTCGACCAGGCCTCCACCCCCAGGAAGCAGCCCGTGACAGCTGACTAACACCCAGGTACCTATTTTACCGCTAGGTAACAGGGGCATAGGGTGAAAGAAACTCGCCCATTGTTTCGGGGGCCGTGACGAGGGTTCCAACCTACGTCCGAGAGGATCGTGATTTCTGTGTGTAATGAAGTAAGGGCGAAGAGGTAGAACAGCCTATTGACACAGCTCGGGTGCATGGGGGAAATTGTGTAAAACCCTGATTTGTGTCTGGGAGAGACTGCAGGATCCGTGGTAGGTCAGGGATGACATCACGGTTGCAATTCTTTTTACCATGTCGTAGCTCAGTCGATTAAGACAGCATCTGGGATCTTCTCGGACGTAGGTTCGAACCCTCGTCACGGACCTTGTGGATTTATTCATTTGATGCATCACGCTATTGTGATTTTTGCATGAAAATACATCTCAAAGGGATAGAGTAGCTTAGGCTATTTCTACCCCCCTTATAGAGGCATTTGGTTGGATGTGAGCAGATGTGATGTCTCTGTATACTTCAGAAGTCATCCTGCTGCCATGTAGTAGTGACATCGTCAACAGGCTCCGGTACAGGTTCATCTTCGTCTCAATTGTGCCTCTCATTTCCTTCCATGCTCTTATATTTTGTTCACTGTTAACCTTTCTTATAACGCCGCCAATTTCACTGATAATTTTATATAAATCGAGGCCATATATCGCCACTTTTTTTTCTATTGTTAGTATGTCCAGTTCTTCATTTATTATATGTGCCCTATACCCATCCTGTGAGCGGTAGTAGACCCCACACCCATCCTGTGTGTGGTAATGGATCCCACACACCCATCCTGTGAGTGGTATTAGACCCCCATCCTGTGAGGGGTCTAGATCCTGTGAGCGGCAGTGGTCCCCATGCCCATCCTGTGTGTGGTAATGGATCCCACACACCCATCCTGTGAGTGGTATTAGACCCCCATCCTGTGAGGGGTCTAGATCCTGTGAGCGGCAGTGGTCCCCATGCCCATCCTGTGTGTGGTAATGGATCCCACACACCCATCCTGTGTGTGGTATTAGACCCCCATCCTGTGAGGGGTCTAGATCCTGTGAGCGGCAGTTGTCCCCATGCCCATCCTGTGAGCGGCAGTGGTCCCCATGCCCATCCTATGAGCGGCAGTGGACCCCATACCCATCCTATGAGCGGCAGTGGACCCCATACCCATCCTATGAGCGGCAGTGGAGCCCCATACCCACCATGTGCCCGATTGAGACTTGAACGTGAAGGTGAAGGAGGTACCCTCAAAAAGACTCGAGTGGAGGAGTGCTTGTGAGCAGGAATGCGTGAAGCTGACGTCACAAAGGTGCGCCAGAGGCAGGCACGGTGTGGGCGGGTGTGGGCGGGTGCGGGCGGGTGCGGGCGGGTGTGGACGGGTGTCATCCACCGCCCACAGCCTCACAGACCGCACAGTTTCAATCAGATCATTTACCCAATCGGCTCCCGCTGTTTACACATTCGGGTTTAACACTGACTGGCCATCGTAGCAATCCAAACGGTGATTGGTGAATTTGGCGTGGGTGCGTGCATCGAATTTCCATTGGTCGTCGACCTTGAGAGCGCACGCCGATTGGCTGCAGCGACGGGTGTGTGGATGGGTGGAGCAGCGCTGCTGCAGCTGCTCTGTGTTGGTGATGTTTACCTCAGGCTGACTTGGCCACTCTCACACCAGCCACGTGTACTGTGGCAGGTCAGGAGTACTATGGCAAGGGTCAGGAGTACTCTGGCGAGGCTAGGAGTACTCTAGTGGGGTCAGGAGTACTCTGGCAGGGCCAGGAGTACTCTGGTGGGGTCAGGAGTACTATGGCAGGGCCAGGAGTACTGTGGCAGGGTAAGGAGTACTATGGCAGGGGTCAGGAGTACTCTAGTGGGGTCAGGAGTACTCTGGTGGGGTCAGGAGTACTCTGGCAGGGCCAGGAGTACTCTGGCAGGGCCAGGAGTACTCTGGTGGGGTCAGGAGTACTCTGGTGGGGTCAGGAGTACTCTGGAGGGGTCAGGAGTACTCTGGCAGGGTCAGGAGTACTCTGGCAGGGCCAGGAGTACTCTGGCAGGGCCAGGAGTACTCTGGCAGGGCCAGGAGTACTCTGGCAGGGGTCAGGAGTACTCTGGCGGGGCCAGGAGTACTCTGGCAGGGTCAAGATATTATTCAGTGAGTACTAAGTATAACAGTGAACCTGCAACTGAAAGACAAGAGTGCGGGCTGCCGCTTATTTAAGGAGCTTGGTGCCAAGTTTTTATATATGAAACATGTTAGTAACTCGCCCAGTTGTTCTATTTGTGGGTGTTCAGACCTTTGTGTGTGTGTGTGTGTGTGTGTGTGTGTGTATGTGTGTGTGTGTGTGTGTGTGTGTGTGTGTGTGTGTGTGTGTGTGTGTGTGTGTGTGTGTGTGTGTGTGTGTGTGTGTGTGTGTGTGTGTGTGTACTTAGCTAGTTGTGCTTTTGGGGGTTGAGCTATGGCTCCTTGGTACCGCCTCTCAACCGTCAATCAACTGGCGTACAGGTTCCTGAGCCTACTGGGCTCTATCATATCTACATTTGAAACTGTGTATGGAGTCAGCCTCCACCACATCACTGCCTAATGCATTCCATCCGTTAACTACTCTGACACTGAAAAAGTTCTTTCTAACGTCTCTGTGGCTCATTTGGGTGCTCAGTTTCCACCTGTGTCCCCTTGTTCGCGTACCACTCGTGTTAAACAGTTTATCCTTATCTACCCTGTCAATTCCTCTGAGAATTTTGTAGCTGTGTGTGTGTGTGTGTGTGTGTGTGTGTGTGTGTGTGTGTGTGTGTGTGTGTGTGTGTGTGTGTGTGTGTGTGTGTGTGTGTATGCTTCTTATTGGTAGCACTTTGTAACACTATTGAAATATTCAGTGTTGGGTGACATTGATGGTTACGCCCTGAACCAATGGGACCTTTCCAAGAAAATGCTTAATACAGAGAAACCTAGTAGTTACTGCTGCCACAATCCTGTCCTCCTAAATATAGAACAAATACAGTAATGAGACAGGAACCATTACTGAATTGAGAGAGTACTCGGCTAGATGTAATTACCTAAGGATCGTATGTTAACAATCTGATACTGGAGACCTTTTAGATGTTCAAAAGTTTCTGAAGACATACACGGGAGAAGACATACACGGGAGAAGACATACACGGGAGAAGACATACACGGGAGAAGACATACACGGACGAAGACGTACACGGGAGAAGACATACACGGGAGAAGACACAAAGAGGGGCCCAAGTGACACTTAGATGACAAATTTAACAAGAGCTTATTAGGACAAAATTATGATATTTACCAAGTTTTAAGTCCCAATGCTAACACTGGCAATTCCTTCTGGAGCCTTGTCTTCGACGCGGGTGGGTTCACGGCCTCTCAACATTGTCTAGGACCACTTTTTCTAGGCCTAGTTACTTTACATCCCCATAAATGATACAAAGGCTTTTCAACCGATTAGAAATATTCATTCGACGCTGTTAATTATAGTCTTTTCTCTTAACCAGCATTTATAAACCTTTCCACTAAATGTTCATGTTGATATACGCGTTTTCTATCACGCATCCGTTGTATTCTCCTCTCTCTGTTGTCTCCCTTCAATGCTTTAATGCTGTTCAAGTCCCAAAGTCAGAACAAGAGAGATACAGAAGGCTTTACAAGCAGTGACGTGCGGGGTGACCTGATGATGGCGACTGGTCCAAAATATACAAAAATATATTGAAAGTAACAAAAGTACATTATTAAAAAGAACTGTTTGCAAAAATTACCTGGTCCTCTTCAGGCGGTCCTCCATTCTGAACCTAATTAGTTTCTTCAGCATGTTTCGTGGAAAACTTGTTAGTGACACTCCTCTGTAGTTTAGTACCACCTGTTCCCTATGTTTTAATACTGGGACTATGTTTCCCCTTTTTCCAAAATTCTGGAAGATTTGCTGTCTTGAGTGTTTTAGTAAATACCTTAAATAGTGTGTGATAAAGTAATTCTGAATCAGCCATGGTGAGAGTAAGTCCCTCCCTCGCCTGAATGATATTGTCATATGTAGTTGCAACCCGTTCTCGCAAATTCGTAAAGTCAATATTGACTTATTAACTACGTGCATAGGTGATATACTAAACATAATAGATACCCTTAAAAAGATTCATAGAAAACACCGACCTTACCTAACCTTGTTAGTATCTTAAGATAAGCATCTTATTGCTTCGTAATTACAATTATTACTTAACCTATACCTATTATAGGTTAGGTAATAATTGTAATTACGAAGCAATAAGATGCTTATCTTAACATACTAAGTAGGTTAGGTAAGGTCGGTGTTTTCTATGAATCTTTTTAAGGGTATCTATTATGTTAAGTATGTCACCTATGCACATATTTAATAAGTCAATATTGACTTATTAAATTTGCGAGAACGGGTTGGTAGTTCCCATGTTTTTTTTATTTGCCTCTTCTACAGCGACAATGTCATCCATTGTTTCTTCCAGCCTCTCATCTCACAACCTTGGTCTACACGTTGGTTCTAATGTAAAAACTTTCTGAATCCTTTTCTTAAGTTCCTATCCTGTAGCGGGAGGAGCCACAGGACTAGATGTGTGGGAAACTCTGCATTATAGGTTCACCTGACCAGTGGTGAGTGGAGCGCCTCACGTGCCGACGTAGGCACTAAAACCTGGCACTAATTATCCGTACCGCAGTGTGAGTCAACACAGTACAGGGATGGGGGTTTGTTGTTATCCGCGGCCCAGAGTGGCCTTGGTCCCCTGGGTGTTGTTGACAAGCTTCAACACCACTTTCTCCTGCTGGCACACTCCACGTGCTCCCCCGCAACACTGTCAAGGCCACTGGCAAGCTGTCTGTATTTGTCCCCCCCTACTCCCTTCTACACTCTCTCTCTCTCTCTCTCTCTCTCTCTCTCTCTCTCTCTCTCTCTCTCTCTCTCTCTCTCTCTCTCTCTCTCTCTCTCTCTCTCTCTCTCTCTCTCTCTCTCTCTCTCTCGCAGAAGTGGGTCCAGCAGGAGTGGGTCCAGCAGGAGTGGGTCCAGCAGGGATGGGTCTAGCAGGGATGGGTCCAGCAGGAGTGGGTCCAGCAGGGATGGGTCCAGCAGGGATGGGTCCAGCAGGGGTGGGTCCAGCAGGGATGGGTCCAGCAGGGATGGGTCCAGCAGGAATGGGTCCAGCAGGGATGGGTCCAGCAGGGGTGGGTCCAGCAGGGATGGGTCCAGCAGGGGTGGGTCCAGCAGGGATGGGTCCAGCAGGGATGGGTCCAGCAGGGATGGGTTCAGCAGGAGTGGGTCCAGCAGGGATGGGTCTAGCAGGGATGGGTCCAGCAGGGATGGGTCCAGCAGGGATGGGTCCAGCAGGAGTGGGTCCAGCAGGAGTGGGTCCAGCAGGAGTGGGTCCAGCAGGAGTGGGTCCAGCAGGAGTGGGTCCAGCAGGGATGGGTCCAGCAGGAGTGGGTCCAGCAGGAGTGGGTCCAGCAGGGATGGGTCCAGCAGGGATGGGTCCAGCAGGAGTGGGTCCAGCAGGAGTGGGTCCAGCAGGAGTGGGTCCAGCAGGGATGGGTCCAGCAGGGATGGGTCCAGCAGGGATGGGTCCAGCAGGAGTGGGTCCAGCAGGAGTGGGTCCAGCAGGAGTGGGTCCAGCAGGAGTGGGTCCAGCAGGGATGGGTCCAGCAGGAGTGGGTCCAGCAGGGATGGGTCCAGCAGGAGTGGGTCCAGCAGGAGTGGGTCCAGCAGGGATGGGTCCAGCAGGGATGGGTCCAGCAGGAGTGGGTCCAGCAGGGATGGGTCCAGCAGGAGTGGGTCCAGCAGGAATGGGTCCAGCAGGGATGGGTCCAGCAGGAGTGGGTCCAGCAGGGATGGGTCCAGCAGGAATGGGTCCAGCAGGAGTGGGTCCAGCAGGGATGGGTCCAGCAGGAATGGGTCCAGCAGGGATGGGTCCAGCAGGGGTGGGTCCAGCAGGAGTGGGTCCAGCAGGAGTGGGTCCAGCAGGAGCGGGTCCAGCAGGGATGGGAAGCTATGCAGGAGGAGGAGCAGACGCACAAACAGAAGATGGAAGCAGAGAAAGGACAGAGGAAAGACCTGGAGGATACAAGAGAAGACCACATGACCAAATAAAGACAATAATAAGACCAAATAAAGACTAAGACATACTTAGTCTAAATAAAGACATAAATAAAGACATACTAAAATAAGTATGGGATCTGTGAGAAGACGAACAAGAACGGGAGAGGTTTTATTACCACGACTCGGAACCAAGGCCAAGAGACAGAATCACAACATCATTAAAAAACATCACAATATCGCAAGAAACATGAACAAAGTGAACATTTCCAACTGTTCAGCATGAACAGGGACTGGTCGAGGCATGAACACGGACGAAGAATCGTCAACCTATCATCATCATCTTATTTTCCAAAATAAATTTTCTTAAGATGCTACCGCAAGCATTTTTTTTTAAATTGCTAAAAGTTAATACCAAAGGTCGTAGCGCGGTAAAATGCCACAGGGTCATAGGTCACAGCGGTGAAGGGCTCAGGGTTAACAATCAAATGTCACTGAGAGCATCAAATGGCAAAAGGTTGTCGTTTGATGGTGATAATACATATGTGTGTGAGATACATACATCGTGACAGAGGCTACAGTGAGCGGCGGGCTCTACATGTATACAGAGTGATGACGTCACTTCCTCCACCCACGTGTGTGGCGGCCATCTTTGTTGCGTCGCGGCTTGGTAGACTATTGCGGGGGCGGGGGGGGGGGAGAAGGATACTCTTTCTTCACGGTGGTTTACATATTGTAAACCAAAAGGTGCAGGTGTGTGGGGGGGGGGGAGCTAAAGGAAGTTTGCAATACAAAACAAATTTCCTTTAGATTGCGATGTACTGTAGAAATAAAGTGTGTGTGGTCACCCAGCCAGTGTCTAGGCAGACTTGAACGATATTAACCCGTCTGTCTCTCTTATGTTTAACGAAGTGGGTGAGTAACATCTCTCTCATGTTTAACGAAGTGGGTGAGTAACATCTCTCTCATGTTTAACGAAGTGGGTGAGTAACATCTCTCGTGTTTAACGTAGCGTGTGAGTAACGAACATGTCATCCATTAGTTCACGTGCACTCGCGAGAACTCCAACGATGCCCAAGTACATTGAATAACGTGAAAACGACCATTAAGATACCCATGCACAAAGGTCCATTTCCTGGACCTTTGGACTCGTGAACTCCTTCGCAGCCAGCCAGTTGCGACGGAGGAGTGCCCAGCCTCCCACAAGGGCCTCACTGCCCCCACCTATAACTGTCAACAGTCACAGGGGGGGGGGGGGGGGTCGCTGTCAAAAGCAAATATTGAGACATTATCCGTCAACAGGTAATATGGGACCCGAGTGGGAGTGGTGTATATGGTAGTGAGTGTGGGAGATTGGTCGCGGGGGATGGTGATCAAGTGCTGGTACATCCTGTTAAGGGGGTGGGGGGTGGGGGGGGGGAGGGGGGGGGGGGAGGGGGAGGAGTGGGAGAGGTACCGGTGCTCTGGGAAATAGGAAACGCCTTGTGCTTGACCTGATGCTGTTGGTGACGCCATCTCTCTCTCTCTCGCTCACACACCCACCACACACACCCACCACGCCCACCATACACGCCCACCACACACGCCCACCCACCATGCCATACACACTAACTATACACATAAATACTCTAGACACACACACACTCTCTCCACCTCCATCAAACTCACACGCCCAACCACCTCCACCACCCACTCCACAGACTTACAAAGAATGACAGGGACGAACGTGACACACACCCCCCCTCCCCTCCTCCCCCCTGCCCCAACAGGAGAGTCCAAGAGGCCTTGACAACAGAGGAAGTGGCACAAGAGAGTAGGACATGACAAACCATTACCAGAGATAAAGAATGATAGAGGCATCCGCTGGAGCTGGGCACCACAAAGGCTGCGAGAGGAGCACCGCCCCGCTGGGGGGGGGGCTCTGGGGGGGCAGTAACCAACCCTATAATGGCTGGTTACTATGATATATATATATATATATATATATATATATATATATATATATATATATATAAATATATATATATATATATATATATATATATATAATGCTTATAATGATATATATAACCTCACTGGCATCAGGAGAACACTGTAGTACCAACACACAGAGGGTAGGCCGTCAGGCACCACTAGACTACACTTCAGCAGCCAGGCACCACTAGACTACACTGCAGCAGCCAGGCACCACTAGACTACACTTCAGCAGTCAGGCACCACTAGACTACACTTCAGCAGCCAGGCACCACTAGACTATACTTCAGCAGCCAGGCACCACTAGACTACACTTCAGCAGCCAGGCACCACTAGACTATACTTCAGCAGCCAGGCACCACTAGACTACACTTCAGCAGCCAGGCACCACTAGACTGCACCTCAGCAGCCAGGCACCACTAGACTACACTTCAGCAGCCAGGCACCACTAGACTACACTTCAGCAGCCAGGCACCACTAGACTACACTTCAGCAGCCAGGCACCACTAGACTATACTTCAGCAGCCAGGCACCACTAGACTACACCTCAGCAGTCAGGCACCACTAGACTACACCTCAGCAGTCAGGCACCACTAGACTACACTTCAGCAGTCAGGCACCACTAGACTACACCTCAGCAGTCAGGCACCACTAGACTACACTTCAGCAGTCAGGCACCACTAGACTACACTTCAGCAGCCAGGCACCACTAGACTACACCTCAGCACCACTAGACTACACTTCAGCACCCAGGCACCACTAGACTACACCTCAGCACCACTAGACTACACTTCAGCACCCAGGCACCACTAGACTACACCTCAGCAGTCAGGCACCACTAGACTACATCTCACTATCTCTCTATCTTGACCGGGAGAAAGAGCCCAAGATGACATCTGGAGAAATAAGACTTCACAATGCTTCACCAACATGGATGGAGAAGCTTGCGCAGATTGTGTATATTAACTATGTAGGACTTGGAAAAGGAATGGTGCCCAACCACTTGGACGGTCGGGGGATTGAACGCCGACCTGCATGAAGCGAGGCCGTCGCTCTACCGTCCAGCCCAATTGGCTGGGCGAACATAAGGAATAGTTTAAAGAGTAGTCAACATCCTCATTACTAACCAGGAACGTTTTCTTCCTATTGTGGGGTGTTGTACATGCTACTCTGGCGCCGTGTTGACCGTGATGGCGCCGCCCAGTAAACTCCACCTTTGGGGCAACATTTAAAAAATAATACATATAGAATTGGAATCAAGTACATGTGAAGTGTGGTCACGAGGTATATGGTGTTGATTGGTAGTGTCTCACTCTGTATATGTACTGTCTGACTCACTCGCTGGCTGGCTTACTCACTGGCTGACTCACTCACTGGCTGACTCACTCACTGGCTGACTCACGTACACTCACTAACTCACCCAACTCATTGCCGACCGCCTTCACTGCCCCCACGCACTCACACCGACCCACACATGTGAAGAAACACATAAGGAAACTGGAGAATGTTCAGAGGTTTGCGACGAGGCTTGTCCCAGAGTTACGAGGGATGGGATATGAAGAGCGTCTGAAGGAACTGAACCTTACGACACTAGAGAAAAGAAGGGAGAAAGGAGATATGATAGGGACATATTAAATACTCAGGGGAATTGACAAAGTGGAAATAGATGACATGTTCACACGTAATAATAACAGAACGAGGGGACATGGGTGGAAACTGGAAACTCAGATGAGTCACAGAGATGTTAGGAAGTTTTCTTTTAGCGTGAGAGTAGTGGAAAAATGGAATGCACTTGGGGAACAGGTTGTGGAAGCAAATACTATTCATACTTTTAAAATTAGGTATGATAGGGAAATGGGACAGGAGTCATTGCTGTAAACAACCGATGGCTGGAAAGGCGGGATCCATAAGTCAATGCTCGATCCTGCAAGCACAAATAGGTGAGTACACCCACCCAATCATTCACAAACTCACTTGCGTAAATGCATTTGCAAGGTCGATCACTAGCTCCCGGACCCCGCCTTACTAGCTGTTTTCTTATCGAGTCGGCTGAAGAAGCAGCGTATTGCTAGTCCACTCTACAGGCTCCCTTCCCTTACTCTGAAGATATCTCTAACATCCTTGTTACTCACCTGTAGCTGACCTGTGACTCACCTGTTACTCACCTGTGGCGTTCTTGTAGCTAACCTGTAACGTTCGTGTAACTATCCTCTAGCTCACCTGTATCTTAACCTGTAATTTACCTGAAACGTTCCCGTAGTTACGTTACATGAAATGGCAAATCATGTGATTACAAGAGAGAGAGAGAGAGAGAGAGAGAGAGAGAGAGAGAGAGAGAGAGAGAGAGAGAGAGAGAGAGAGAGAGAGAGAGAGAGAGAGAGAGAGAGATAGAGAGATAGATAGATAGATAGATAGATAGATAGATAGATAGATAGATAGATAGATAGATAGATAGATAGATAGATAGATAGATAGATAGATATGGAGATGTAGAGCGTTTTCTATAGCTGAGAACGCAGACTCCTGTTCTAAGGTGCGAAGCGAAGCCGTGGCTGGAGTCCGCGAGCCGCAGACACCTGTTGCCCAAGGTCCCGTGCCCGGTCACGACACCCGAGGCAACCCACAGACAGGTGGGCTGAGGTGGGCGCGGCCAGTCCCACCACACCTTGGTGGGTTGGAGTGGGCGCGGGCATGACAGTACATAGGTGGGCTTGTGTGAGCAGTGAGATCCAGTACTTGGTCCCCTTCCCCAGCACCTGGTCGCTCTCCCCCAGCACCTGCTCCCTCCCCCAGCACCTGCTCCCTCCCCCAGCACCTGGTCCCCTCCCCCAGCACCTGCTCCCTCCCCCAGTGACTGGGGGCTGTGCTTGCCTGCGTGTCAGGCCGCTCGAGCCTCAGGCAGCAATAGCCCCTAGTACACGCGGGGGAGGGAGAGGGAGGTGGTTTACCCCCAAGGTAAACCCAGCACTTGTCTTCATTACACACTACCTACACCCAGTACACTACCCACACACACCCCGTCCTCTTATTACTGAGACACATTCTACCTTCAGTCTCACCACATGGATGATAATTATAAATAAAAAATCAATAAAGAGGTCATACTGCCTCTAGCCAGGCGAGGCTGTGTAGGAACACGGACCCTGAGAGGGAGCTTTAGGTTTTGTTGAGAGGTTTTTGGTGATTTTTTTTATTGCGGGTGTGAGTTGACGGCGCTAGGCTCCTCCTGCTCCGTGTGGCCCGGGGGCGCTCACCTGCTGCTTGCTCGACCAGGGAGTGGAGAGTCATTTGCCTGCACCGGATTACGGTTATGAAGAGCTGGAGTTGTTGTTACAGGAGAGAGAGAGAGAGAGAGAGAGGGAGAGAGAGAGAGAGAGAGTGTACTCACCTAGTTGTGCTTCCGGGAGTTGAGCTCTGGCTCTTTGGTCCCGCCTCTCAACTGTCAATCAACTGGTGTACAGATTCCTGAGCCTACTGGGCTCTGTCATATCTACATATGAAACTGTGTATGGAGTCAGCCTCCACCACATCACTGCCTATTACATTCCATCTGTTAACTACTCTGATACTGAAAAAGTTCTTTCTAACGTCTCTGTGGCTCATTTGGGTACTCATTTTCCACCTGTGTCCCCTTGTTTGCGTACCACTCGTGTTAAACAGTTTATCTTCATCTACCCTGTCAATTCCTCTGAGAATTTTGAAGATAGAGATCATGTCTCCCCTACCCCTTCTGTCTTTCAGTGTCGTGAGGTTCAGTTCTAATAATCTTTCCTCATAGCTTATACCTCTCAGCTCCGGAACTAGCCTGGTGAACCTTTTCTAACTTCGTTTTGTGTTTGACTAGATGAGGACTCCATGCTGGAGCCGCATATTCCAGTATTGGTTTAACATATGAGGTATACAAGGTTCTGAATGACTCTTTACACAAATTTCTGAAGGCAGTTCTTATGTTCGTCAGCCTTGCGTACGCCGCTGATGTTTTCCTTTTGATGTGGGCTTCATGGGACAAGTCTGGTGTGATATCAACCCTCAGATCTTTCTCTCGTCCTGACTCCTGAAGGATTTCCTCTCCCAGTTGGTACCTTGTGTTTGGCCTCCTGCTCCCTAAGCCTATCTTCATCACTTTGCACTTGCTCGAGTTAAACTCTAGTAGCCATTTGTTGGACCATTCCTTCAGTCAGTCTAGGTCATCCTGTAGCCTCTGTCTTAATCCTTCTCATAAGTTTAGCATCATCAGCAAACACTGAGAGGAATGAGTCTATTCTTCTCTTGGAGATTGATTAAGACGCTACTGAGTGACTCTGTATTAACACCATTCAAACCCCCTAAACCCCGATGATCGGTGATGAGTGTCGAGGAGTGACCACAAGCCAGAGGAGGAACGCGGGCGTCCAGGAAGGGGAAGGTCACTCAGATCACTACCAGCGGTCACTCTCTTGCGCAGACGGCGAGCGTATATAGCTGCTAGGACCGAGCCCAGCACTGTTTTATAACCACGGGAGTGAACACTTCAAGATCCCAGCCATGGGTTCGAACCTCAACCCGGTCTCTCGAATCTTACGTCGCATATTTAACGTATAAATCCCCCCAAGGCCAAAACCAATGTACTAACAATCATAGCGGCTCGTAAAATTGACGTGCTGTTCCGTTTTCTATTCGCGGGTATCCTCAAGTAAGTTAGGTTCGGGCAATTTAGTACATCGGTTTAGGGACGTTGTGGAGGCTGCGAACTGAGGGTGATATCGGTATTAGGGTGTGGGGAGGCGAGGACGTTATCTGCTACTACACAGGCTGTGTACACAGTTCTTCCTGTTGTTATAGATTCAGCTACTCGGAACAAGTTTTAAGTAGCACGGGCTATGGTGAGCCCGTAACGTACCTAGCACAGGAGCGGGACAAGTAGCACGGACTATGGTGAGCCCGTAACGTACCTGGCACAGGAGCGGGACAAGTAGCACGGGCTATGGTGAGCCCGTAGTGAACTTACCCTGCACAGGAGCGGTGCTCGCCCAGTTCTTCAGTGCCAGGATATTTATATAGAGCCCTCGTTCATAATTTCCTAATGGTCTAAAGGTAGATCTTCACATGGAAAGTTTTTGGCTCTGTCGTGATTGGTCGCATAATCACGCATCACTCGTGGTTGGTCACCAATCACCCATCTATCAACTAACCGATTGATTGATGAAGATTAAGCCACCCAAAAGGTGGCACGGGCATGAATAGCCCGTAAGTGGTGGCCCTTTTGAGTCATTACCAGTATCAAGAGCTGATACTGGAGATCTGTGGAGGTGCGACTGCACCCTACGTGACGGGAGATGTCTCCCGTGTCAACTAACCTCAGGTTTGCTGACTATACACCCCTCTAGTCGTATTCATAAACTTTTACGGGCTATTCATGCCCGTGCTACCTCTTGTGTGGCTTAATCTTTACCAATCTTCATAAACTTGTTTTTCCCCTGAAGATCGGCCAGGTGGTAGGATGATCGAGGCAAAATTATTTGTATCAACTATGCAGAAAAACTTGCCACGCGTGTCGGTATGTTGACGGCTGGGGCTGAGCTGATCTGCCAGGCCATTAAACGTTTTACGGGCTATTCATGCCCGTGCCACCTCTTGGATGGCTTAATCTTTATCAATTATTAAACGTTCACAATCTGTTTATGAGAGCTGCAGGGAAATGTATTTGGTAAGAGGAGGTGTTCGGTGGTGTAGCTGTCTGTGGCTTCGTGTGGTCCTGGACAAGATGTGTCGATATAGAACTTCTTAAAACATGTACAGCGTTAAAGTCTAGTCCATTCTAGTTCTGATTCCTGAGAATCAGGAATCTGATTGTACTTGTCTTGCCTGTGAAACATGCACTCTTTAAGTATCTTAGTTATGTATGTATGTATGTATGTATGTATGTATGTATGTATGTATGTATGTATGTATGTATGTATATATGTATGTATGTATGTATGTATGTATGTATGTATGTATGTATGTATGTATGTATGTATGTATGTATGTATGTATGAACGTACGTTATGTACGCTTGCTTAAATATAATAATAATATTATTATTATTTGCCTGGTTCAATTCTTATCTTTCTATTACTGATTTTCTCATCATTATTATCATTAGTATTATAGCCAAAATAAGCTTCTAAAATGTAAAAAGTGGAATAAGAACGAGAAACGATATTTTGAAATAAATAATTTACTTTTAGGGATTCAAACTCGAAAGAGGCTTAACTATCTATCCTGAGGAGCAGCTGCTGTCAGGAACTATCTATCCTGAGGAGCAGCTGAAGTCAGGAACTATCTATCCTGAGGAGCAGCTGCTGTCAGGAACTATCTATCCTGAGGAGCAGCTGAAGTCAGGAACTATCTATCCTGAGGAGCAGCTGAAGTCAGGAACTATCTATCCTGAGGAGCAGCTGAAGTCAGGAACTATCTATCCTGAGGAGCAGCTGCTGTCAGGAACTATCTATCCTGAGGAGCAGCTGAAGTCAGGAACTATCTATCCTGAGGAGCAGCTGAAGTCAGGAACTATCTATCCTGAGGAGCAGCTGAAGTCAGGAACTATCTATCCTGAGGAGCAGCTGAAGTCAGGAACTATCTATCCTGAGGAGCAGCTGCTGTCAGGAACTATCTATCCTGAGGAGCAGCTGAAGTCAGGAACTATCTATCCTGAGGAGCAGCTGAAGTCAGGAACTATCTATCCTGAGGAGCAGCTGAAGTCAGGAACTATCTATCCTGAGGAGCAGCTGAAGTCAGGAACTATCTATCCTGAGGAGCAGCTGAAGTCAGGAACTATCTATCCTGAGGAGCAGCTGAAGTCAGGAACTATCTATCCTGAGGAGCAGCTGAAGTCAGGAACTATCTATCCTGAGGAGCAGCTGCTGTCAGGAACTATCTATCCTGAGGAGCAGCTGAAGTCAGGAACTATCTATCCTGAGGAGCAGCTGCTGTCAGGAACTATCTATCCTGAGGAGCAGCTGAAGTCAGGAACTATCTATCCTGAGGAGCAGCTGCTGTCAGGAACTATCTATCCTGAGGAGCAGCTGCTGTCAGGAACTATCTATCCTGAGGAGCAGCTGAAGTCAGGAACTATCTATCCTGAGGAGCAGCTGCTGTCAGGAACTATCTATCCTGAGGAGCAGCTGAAGTCAGGAACTATCTATCCTGAGGAGCAGCTGAAGTCAGGAACTATCTATCCTGAGGAGCAGCTGAAGTCAGGAACTATCTATCCTGAGGAGCAGCTGCTGTCAGGAACTATCTATCCTGAGGAGCAGCTGAAGTCAGGAACTATCTATCCTGAGGAGCAGCTGCTGTCAGGAACTATCTATCCTGAGGAGCAGCTGAAGTCAGGAACTATCTATCCTGAGGAGCAGCTGAAGTCAGGAACTATCTATCCTGAGGAGCAGCTGCTGTCAGGAACTATCTATCCTGAGGAGCAGCTGAAGTCAGGAACTATCTATCCTGAGGAGCAGCTGCTGTCAGGAACTATCCTTGAGGAGCAGCTGCTGTTAGGATGTCGCAGTGATAGAAACATTGAATGCTAATCCTTAATTTAAGTAAGTACCTAAAGATAAATTTATCGATAAGCAAATTTTTCTATGAAGTGATTTATGGGAGAACTAAAACAATAAGTGACTCGGTCTGCTTGCTATCAAGTTGGCGAACTTGATAGCTCAAGTTTGCATTAGGACTTGGAAGGGATAAGGATTTGGGGTGGGACGGGGGGAAAGGAATGGTGCCCAACCGCCTGGACGGTCGGGGACTGAATGCCGACCTGCATGAAGAAAGGACGTTTTGTGTTATGAGGAGTGATGGTGGTAGTGGTGGTGATGGTGTTGGCGGTGATTGTGGTGATTGTAGTGGTGGCGGTACCCGTTGGCGGGCCCGTGTGAAGGCGTCCCAGGCGGCGCTGTATACGTGCGGCGGGTCACATCTGATCTACTGGCCGGCAGCCCTCGGGTTCCCCACACTATGGCTAGGCGGCATCTGGGGTCATGGCTCAGGTGATCCCCGCTCCGCCCAGTGTTATATATCTCTGCGGTTTTGGCTGTCCTCGCGCTTGTCTCTTACACACCACACTGTACCATAATGTATATCTGACGGGGGAATACTGGAAGGTGACATGTACACGAGAAAGTGACATGAACACTGGTGATGCCACGGCCTGCCAGTCACCTCACCTTCTCTCACGGTCACTGTTTCGCTGACCAAGTCACTGTGAAGCCTCGCCTCATCTAGACACATAAATTATCATACACTTTAACATTGTATTTGTTTCGGACAAACATTATCACTGAACACATCTTTTCCCTTTACAAACCGTCGTGTGTGTTTTGACCTCTCGACCTCCAATTCCCCCATTCTTTGGTTATCCTTGAGAGTCAGTATGGTGCAAGGGTTGGCGTTGGTTGAGGCTGGCTACCCAAATCCACCAGGAGAGGCGTGGAGGTGACTGGTGCCCGCCGCGCGGGGCGAGGCCGCCACCATGTTCCACTTCTAAAAAAGTGGAGAAGACTGCTGGACATTGCGTGTTTATTTAAACATTTTCACCAACGGGTGTTTGCATTAAATCCTTATCCTGATCCCTTCCAAGTGCGACATAGTCGTCGTGACTTGCCGCTTTCTCCCTGATAGTTCCCTTTCCCTTCAGCCAACTTAAACTAGAGAGACTTATTCCAGCCCAACTGTGACGACATAGTTTTGACAGTTAGAAAATGTGCTAAACGCCTGTGTACGTTACGGCAGTTACCCAGTTGAGAAGATGGTGTTGGGAAGGAGGTTCCCGCGTCCCTCCCGCCCACGCTGGCCGGGCCAACAACACCACCACCTGCAATGGTTCTCCCGCCATGCGCACCCGCTACCTTTGTTGGGTGCGCGCGGGGGCGGGTGTACTCGCCTAGTTGTGCTTGCGGGAGGGTTGAGCTCTGGCTCTTTGGGCCCGTCTCTCAACTGTCGATCAAAGTGGTTTTTTTTCACACACACGAAGGAAGCAGCCCGTAGCAACTGTCTAACTCCCAGGTACCTATTTACTGCTAGGTGAATAGGAGCATCAGGATGAAAGAAACTTTGGCCATTTGTTTCCGCCTTTGCCGGGAATCGAACCCGGACCCCTAGGAGTACGAATATCGAGTGCTGTCTACTCGGCCGTCAGGCCCCTCGGTGTGCGCGGGGGCGGGTGTGGGTGTGCGCGGGGGCGGGTATGGGTGTGCGCGGGGGCGGGGGCGGGTATGGGTGTGCGCGGGGGCGGGGGCAGGTGTGGGAGTGCGCGGGAAGGCTGCGCGCATGCGTGGTGGTGCACCTAGCCCTGACCGCAGGGGAATGAGTCAGTGAGGTGCCCCGCCCTGCTAGACCCGTCTTGTACCTGCTGCTTTTTTGTATTTCTTGTCTTTCCTAACGTTGTGTACAGCGCCCGGCCCTACTACTACCACAACAGGAGAGGATAGGAATGGCTGCAGTGCATTCCACGTGTTGACCGCCCACATGTTCGACTCCCCCTTCCATCCATGTCTTGGCCTGTGTCCTCTCGACATAAAGATGCTCTCCATTTCCACCTTGTTCATTTCCACTCATCCTTGCCTCCTCTACAGTTGTGAGCTTCCTTAACCTAAAAGGGGGATAGAAATAGCCTAAGCTACTCTATCCCTTTGAGATGTATTTCTTTCTTGTCTCAATAAACATACTTGAACTTGAACTTAACCGCTGGTATCCTAGCGTCATGTATTTTAGCCCCGTCTCATCCCAAATCCTCATCCTGACCCCCTTCCAAGTGCTATATAGTCGTAATGGCTTCGCGCTCTCCCCTGATAATTCCCTCCCTCCTGTAGCACAGTGGTCTGCATTCTGAACTCACAATCGAGGATCCCGGGCTCAATCCCCAGGCAGGACAGAAACGATTGAGTATGTTTTCTTTCACCAAATGCATCTGTTCAGCTTGCACGTAATATGTGGCCAAGAGCTATGTAACTGTTGTGGGCTGCACCCTGAGGAATGTCAGTAGTTGGCTTAGGCCTTGTGAGACCTCGATAAGCTTAAATGCAGGTTTTCTGTCCAGGACACAACGGGAATTATTATCATGACATTTTTCCACAAATCCACTTGAGAGGCAGGAACCAAGAGCCATAGTTAATCTCAGAGTGATGAGTGGCTTTATACATAAATTCCTACACTATCAAAACACTGTAAGACCTGAAACCACTCTAAGCAGATATGAAAGTTTGTATCAGTTGTCCTCCTAAGGTTTATCAGTGTCATGGGAGAAAGGAGACCAAGCGGCAGCTACACCATAAAGGGAAGGAGCAACTTCAGGAGTCGGAGAGAGAGATGTGAGAGTGGACATTACTCCAGCACTGACACTGGAGACACACACACACACAAGCAGGCTGATGTGGGTCTGCAACAAGGTTAGTACCAGAGGTAAGAGGGTTGAACTATGAGGTTAGGTCGAGGGAACTAGACTTCACATCATTGGAGGAGAGAAGAAATTGAGGGGGCATGATTGCAACATACAAAATACTGAGGGAAATTGACAAAGTGGACAAGGATAGCCTCTTTTAAAGTGAGAGGAAAGTAGGACGAGAGGACATAAGTGGAAACTGGAAACTCAAATGAGTCGAAGAAATGTAAGAAAGTTCTCGTACCCTTTACGGGTGATCCATAAGTGGAACTGAAATTATTTGAATGTCAGAATAGTTAAATTGAAACACAACAGGTACAACAAGAGTAGCAGCTAAGTACCACGGCAACCTACCAACACCTCAGCCACCCATTACCACCACCACAGCCACCCACTACCAACATCGCTACCACCCAACATCGCCACCACCACCACCCACCATCACCTTGTAGTAAGCTATACCACCAGTCACAGTAAACCAGCTCTTACACCCACCACTAACTATTTACCAACCTGAGTACGCTAACTATATGACCATATTGTTTCTCAGAATTAATTACAGACGTTTTTGTTGAGAAACATTGTGGAGGGAAGTCGTGCGGCAGGCAGTGGCGTGAGAGAACCCCCGGCGGCAGTTGTCGTACCGCCCCGCCACCTGCTGCCCTGCAATAGCGGCTTTGTTTATATCTTAAGAACTCGCTCGTCCCACCACCAGGACAATTTTTGTTAACAGATTGTATTATGTTACTAAAACAGTTGTTAGTGGGAACTATATCATGCTGTTTAAACCGGAGAGAGAAAGTTGAGTAGGTGGTGAGTAAGAGTTTAGAGAGAGAGGAAGAGTTAAGTGCTGCCTGAGTGGGTGGCTGGGTGGGTGAGGGAGCCCGCCCCGGGAGCCCACCCTGGGAGCCCGCCCTGGGAGCGTTACTAAGCTCCCATGTTGATCTTGTGACTTTCAACTTTTTTTCCCGCTGCCAGTCGTGGTCCGCGCTTAGCCAACAATTATTCCTGCTAGGCAAGAGCTATACAGATGTATGTGGACGTGCATGATAAACACAGCGAGATATGAACGAGAAAGAGCTAGAGACAACCATGGGAGTATTGGGCAAGGTCCTTCCCCCTAACATGACTCATTTGTAGTGCTTTTGTCATGCCAGAGGTATACGAGCTCTGAAAACCCACCTTTGGCCTGAATTTACCTGAGGCCCACTATCTCTCTAGAGGCCTCGACGAGGGCTGGAACCCAGTGATCGAGCTGGATTTTGAAATTCAGCAGCGTTTTGGCATCGACGATTTCATCGGGTAGGCGGTTCCGCGGGTTTATAACCCTTGTGACTTGTTGAGCTTGAAACGGGTGATCTTTGTTCATGTTACATCTGATATTTTGAAGAAGTTGTCTGGATCAACATCCTCCAAATTGTTCAGCAATTTAAAAGTTTCGAGAAGAACAAATCAGTGTATTTGTATGCTGGTACAACATGGTTGCAGCTGGCAATCCCAATCATTATGGACGAAGAGGAGGATGCGGGAGATAATCAGTAATAGCGAAAATCCGTCTTGGATACAAATATCCATGGAGATTCGGAATGGAAACAACAGTTGAGCAGAGGAGTTGCAAAATCTGTGGTGAGAGTGACGGACACCGCCTTGACCACTACCTGAGAGTGTGTGAATATCTAAGAGTCATTAGAAATGTGTAGAATAATTAACCGTACATTGTTTGAGTTAGGAAAACACTATTTGTCAAATATAGATTAAAAGATTCCTCTATTTTGCACCCGCAAGATAACTTAAGATGATGAGGGTTGACAACGTTAATCTTCTTGTTTGAGAAGCTGTTCACTTGAGACAGTTAAGCAAGTCCCAGCTATGTCTAGGTACAAGTGACAAGATGAACAACCCAGCGGGTTTTCTTCCAATTGGAGAGTGTTGTACATGGTGCTATGGCGGTATGTCCACTCACACGATGAGTGGCGCTGCCCAATAAACTCGCTCCTTGGGGCAAAATTTAGATTTATTCAGTCCTGTCCTGTCTTTTTTGCGGTGTTGTTAGCCCTGTGGCCCTCAGTATAAACTAAAAGCCCCTGAATATTCACGCTGTGCTCGATATACATCGTCTCAAATGTGAGGACAGGTTGTTTTTGCAATCATTTAACCTCTGACGAATCTTTTTCGCCCCCTCCCCTGTAAACCCTCGCCCCTACCCCCCTATCCCCTCCTCCCTCAGCCCCTATCACCCCCTCCCCACCCCTTCCCTGTTTTCCAAACGGTCCCTCGTACAGTATATTTTCTTGTATACGTTTGTATGTTAAGCAGTGGATGTAGTGTCTTCATGCTGATGTATCCACTCGCTTCTACTCGCCTGTGTTTACGGCGGGTTGCTCTTCAGTCCCTGGGCCCCAGCTCGTATATGGTCGGTGGACGGGTGTATTTGATTTCTAGCTTTACTTTGAAGACACATATGTAGACTGGAAGACACGTGTGCAGTCTTGAAGACACGTTCACAGTCTTTTCAAGTTCAAGTTTATTGAGATAATAAGATATATCCCCAAAGGATAGAGTAGCTTAGGCTATTTCTATCCTCTTCTATTTCACGTCTCTCAAAGAGGCTCACAAATCCGTACGGTAGACAAATTATATTGTAATTACAAATGCATTTATATGAATTAAATAGTTTCACATAGTATATATTTCAAACTATATAACAAGAATTTTATTACTATTACATTCTTGGTGTAACGGCATAGTAAAACCTCTCCATTCTCAGGCCTGCTCCCCTTCCATCCCCCCCCCCAACACCCCCTTTCTCACTGTTCCCTACTCTTCTCCCCCTCTCTCACGCCTCCTCTTGAGAGAGTCAAGAAGGGGTCAGGTTCCTGGTGAGCGTAGTCGGCTGACAGCCTGGTAAGCCAACCCGCCCTCTTAAAAATAACGTCGCTTTTGGCTCGTATGCGCCGATGAAATCGGCTCACGAAAGTGACGTACTGTCCTGTTTTCTGTTTGAGTCGTCCGGCTTACTCGGAAAGGTTAGGACAGGAAACTTTCAATTAAACGTTTCAAAACGTTTTTCATAACGTTTTGAAACTTTATGAGAATTTCCTGTCCACCTAACCTATCAGAGGACCCTTAACTAACTGTTGTTGAATAAAAATCTCAAATTTATTTTCATTTTTTTTTCATTTTCAAATTACGTCCACTTTCGGCCATACGGGCAAACGGCGAAAAGGGACGTTATTTTTAAGAGGACAGGTTGACCGGCAGCCCCTAAAAATTAATGGATAACGCAATCTGAGTCGCAGGACCCTTAGGCATGTAGCCCTGCTGCCTGCACGCCCACGCCTGGCCTGGTGTTTACAAGAGCCGATAAGGTGTTTCCTTAGAACAACGACGAGGCTGTTTTGGTCAGCTTGGCTGCCAGGACGCTTGATGTATAATGGCCCTGGGCAAGGTGACCCCGTGGTGACCTCTCTGGCCGTACTGGTCCTGGGAACCTTCTCTTCAGTTCCTGTAATTTTTCCAGGAACTAATCACATTTTGTCCTCAATATCAACAACACCTTTGTTGCACACAGAGATCACATTAACGTGATGCATCAAATGAACAAACCCACATCAAATGGGGGGGGGGGGTTGTGTAAAATCCTGGTTTGTGCCTCGGAGAGGCTACGGGTTCTAGTAAGTTCAGTAAGAACTTCGGTTTCAAGTCTTTTACCCTGTCGTAGCTCAGTCGATTAAGGCAGTGTCTGGGATGCTCCCAGACGCAGGTTCGAATCCTCGTCACGGCCCTTGTGGATTTGTTCATCACCTTTGTTGGTTTGTTTGCTGTGTTGTGGTCCAAGTTTGGGCGTGGTGCAGGTCGGGGTCGGTCCTTGCTTTGACTGTTGTGTTGTAATCTAAGTGCTCTCTGTTGCAGCTCCTGCAACTCTCCCTGTTTTATCATGTTCTTTGATTTATTTGTACCTTCATGCTCGCGCCTTTTGGTTAATCTGAAGGTAATGTCTGTACTCAACTGGTACAGGGACTCGAGGGAATGTGTATGTTGTTGCACATTCACTTTGGCTATTTTCAGGTACCTTTCTGTGATGAGCAGACATTGTCGAGACGTGTGAGATCCTAAACGGGTACTGAGGATGTAGATAGATGGCCTTGACCGGAAACTAGAGAAGCAGAGGAACTTTGGGCATGTTAAGAAAACTTCTTTATATAAACTTCGAGGTTGAAGAAGTGGAGTCCTAACACCAGTCTAGATTTAAGTGTAGATATGATTGAAGTCATCTAATTGGTCTTTGCATATTAGACGACAGACAGCTGAAAGTCTGGGTCCCAAAACCTGACGCTCGTCCCTAAAGGGAAGAGTGAAGATTGATTGATTGACAAAGATTTAACCACCCGAGAGGTGGCACGGGCATGAATAGCCCGTAAGGAAGTGTCACGTCAGAACAGAACATAAGTATCATTCTCGGGAGCATTGCATCAGGTGGTGTCCATGCCGCGTGTGGCCGCGGGTCCACCCGCCAGTCTCACTGACCACCACGTGTTCCCAGTCATGTGAATTGAAATTGAAATAAGTTTATTGAGGTAAAATACACACAAAGGGATGAGGTAGCTCAAGCTATTCTCACCCCGTTCAGTACATCGTGTTAATACATACATATACGCACATCACAAACATATTACCAAACATTCTGAGAGATAAACATCTACATTTCCTTCCAGTCATGTGGGTTCCTGCACTCCAGTGGTGACGTGTCATGATGACGTGGGGTGCTCCCTGGGACGGCGGGAACAGCCACGGACTGCTCCGTAGTGTTAATTTTTTTTTTTTATTTTGCCCCGAGGGGCGAGTTTATTGGGCAGCGCCACTCATCTTGTGAGTGGATACACCGCCATAGCAGCATGTACAACACTCCCCAATAGGAAGAAAACCCGCTGGGTTGTTCATCCTGTCACTTGTACCCAGACACAGCTGGGACTTGCTTAAGTTCCTACAGCCTCGCCTTCCCAGCAA